AAAGGAGGAGTCACGATCTTAATTTCAGACAAAATACCATTTAAGCTATCAAAAATTTAAAAAGATACAGAGGGCCACTACATAATGATAAAAGATTCACTCCATCAACAAGAAATATCTATGCACCCAACATAGGTGCGCCAACTTTCATAAAGCAACTTGTAGGAAAACTAAAGAAAGATATTGACTCTAACACCATCATAACTGGGGACTTTAATACTCCACTCACAACCCTAGACAGATCATCAGGACAAAAAATCAGCAATTAGATCCAGAACCTCAATGTGACTCTTGACCAAATGGACTTAATTGATACCCACAGAACACTCCATCCCAAAGACCACAGAATACACATTCTATTCATCACCACATGGAACATATTCTAAGATGGACCACAAAATTGGCCATAAATCAAACATAAGCAAATTTAAAAGGACCGAAATTCTACCAAACACCTTCTCGGACCACAGTGGAATAAAAATAAACGTTATCACCAACAAGGTCTCTCTAAAACCCACAAAGACATGGACGCTAAACAGTATATGCTAAACAACTCCTCGATCAATGATGAAATCAAAACAGAGATCAAAAGATACCTGGAAACAAATGAAAATAAAGAAACATCTTACCAAAATCTCTGGGATGCCATGAAAGCTGTAGTAAGAGGGGAATTTATATCCCTACAAATGCACATGAAGAAAATGGAAGGATCACAAATTAACAGCCTAACAAGTCACCTAAGGAGCTGGAAAAGCAAGACCACAAAAACCCTAATTTCAGCAGAATAATCCAGATCTCCAAAATAAAAGCCCAAATCCAGGACACAGAAGGCAAAAAGACAATACAAAAAAATCAATGAAAAAAAAAGCTGGTTCTTCGAAAGGATAAACAAGATCGATGGTCCCCTGACTAGACTGACCAAGAAAAAGAAAGAAAAAACTCAAATAAGCACAATCAGAAACACAAAAGATGAAGTCACATCTGACCCTGAAGAAATACAACAGATAATTAGAGACTACTATATACACTTGTATGGAAACAAACTTGAAAACGTCAGGGAAATGGAGGACTTTCCAGTCATCACACAACCTGCCTAGGTTGAAACAAAAAGAAATCGAGACCCTAAATAGACCAATAACAATCAAGGAAATTGACTACGTAATAAGAAAACTACCTACAAAAATAAGTCCTGGACCAGATGGCTTTCCAGCAGAATTCTACAAGACATTTAAGGAAGAGCTGATTCCAATCCTACTGAAGGTATTTCAGGCAATTGAAAAAGATGGAACTCTCCCCAAATCATTTTATGAAGCTAACATCACATTGATACCCAAGCCAGGTAAAGATCCAACAAAGAAAGAGAACTACAGGCCAATATCTTTGATGAACATAGATGCTAAAATTATCAACAAGATCCTAGCAAACCAGATTCAACAACACATCTCAAAAATCATCCATCATGACCAAGTAGGCTTCATCCCTGGAATGCAAGTCTGGTTCAACATTCGTAAAACCATAAATGTAATTAAATACATCAACAGATGTCAAAATAAAAACCACATGATTATATCATTAGATGCAGAAAAAGCTTTTGATAAAATTCAGCACCCCTTCTTGATAAAAACCCTCAAATATCTAGGCATACGGGGAACATACCTCAAAATAGTAAAAGCCATCTACAAGAAACCCACAGCCAGCATACTCCTAAATGGACAAAAATTGGAAACATTTCCCCTGAAAACTGGAACAAGACAAGGATGCCCACTCTCACCCCTCCTGTTCAATATAGTACTGGAAGTCCTGGCTAGAGAAATCAGAGAAGAGAGGGCAATCAGGGGTACCCAAATAGGAAAGGAGGAAGTCAAGTTATCTCTCTTTGCAGATGACATGATTGTGTACCTTGAAAACCCAAGAGAATCTGTCAAAAACCTCCTTACACTGATAAAGGCCTTTGGCACAGTCTCAGGATATAAAATAAATGTGCAAAAGACAATCACATTTCTTTACACCAATAATAAACAAATAGAAACCCAAATAAAAAGCACAATTCCATTCACAATAGCCACAGAAAAAAGAAATACCTTGGCATCTTCCTAACCAGAGACGTGAAAGACCTTTACAATGCAAACTACAAAACTCTGCTCAAAGAAATCAAAGATGACACAAACAAATGGAAAAATACCCCATGCTCATGGATTGGAAGAATCAACATTGTGAAGATGTCCATCTTACCTAAGGCAATCTACAGATTCAATGCAATACCTATCAAATTACTAGCAACATTCTTCTCAGACCTAGAAAAAACAGCACAGGAATTCATATGGAAACACAAATGACCAAGAATAGCCAGAACAATCCTCAGCAAAAAAAACAAAGCAGGTGGTAAAACATTACCAGACTTCAAACTTTACTATAAAGCTACAATCATCAAAACAGCTTGGTATTGGTATAGGAACAGGCGTATAAATCAATGGAATAGAATTGAGATTCCATAAGTAAAACCTCAATTTCTCAACCAAATCATTTTTGACAAAGCCTCCACCACCTACCACTGGGGAGAGGAGAACTTATTCAGTAAATAGTCCTGGGAAAACTGGCTGACCACATGCAGAAGATTGAAACCGGATCCCTATCTATTCCCATACACAAAAATTAACTCCAAATGGATCAGGGACCTAAATATAAAACCTCAAACCATAAGAACCTTAGAAAATGAAGGACATACCCTCATGGAAATTGGAACTGGCATCCAATTCCTGAACAAAATCCAAAACCCACAGGCCATAAGAGATAAGATAGACAAGTGGACCTCATTAAATTGACAAGCTTCTGCAAAGCTAAAGAAACCATCAAGAGAGCAGGGAGACAGCCTACAGACTGGGAAAAAGTATTTGCCAACTCCAGGTCTGACAAAAGCCTAACATCTTGGATCTACAAGGAGCTCAAATGTGCTGAAAAGAAAAAAAACAAACAAAAAGATCGGCAAAAGATATGAACAGACACTTCACAAAGGAAGACATCCGAGCACCCAACAGACACATGAAGAAATGTTCAACCTCACTAATCATCAGGGAGATGCAAATCAAAACCACACTGAGATACCACCTAACTCCAGTCAGAATGGCCATTATCAATAACTCAAAAAATAACAGATGCTAGAGAGGGTGTGGCGAAAAAGGAACACTTCTACACTGTTGGTGGGAGTGCAAACTAGTGTAACCTCTGTGGAAAGCAGTGTGGCAATTCCTAAAAGCTCTAAATATCGACCTCCCATATGACCCTGCAATCCCCCTACTGGGAATATACCCTGAAGAATCAAATCACTCTATCAAAAAGATGACTGCACTCGAATGTTTATCGCAGCATTGTTCACAATAGCAAGAACCTGGAACCAACCATGCTGTCCATCAAAAGAGGACTGGATTTTAAAAATATGGTATATATACACGATGGAATACTATGCAGTCATAAAAAAGAACAGAATCATGAATTTTGCAGCAACCTGGACGGAACTAGAGTCTATAATACTGGGTGACCTCTCACAAATACAAAGATCTGAGTATCACATGTTCTCACTCATTAGTGGACCTTGATCATCCAACATACTACCATAAGAAAATGACTGACAGTGGTGGGAAACTATGGGGGAGAGGGGAAGGGGGATGGGACTAATGGTAGTAAACATCTGTCTGGGGACGGGAAGACACCTCTTATCAACAAGGGTGCCTGAACAAAGCATATTTGTATACCTAACCCTTAACTGTACCCCACAATATCATTCATAATAAAAAATATTGATTTAAAAAAAAAATTTAAAAAAGAAGTAGGATATAGTTGTGGGAGAATCCAAGTTTTGTAGACAAACATATTTAAACCTCAATTCGATTATATTTTGGGGACATAGCAGGTTATTTAATCTTCTATGCTTCAGTATTCCTAGCTACCTGAGGTAATAGTACCTTGCATGTTATAATGATTAATGAAATATGTAATGTGTTTAGGATATAGTAGGTACTTGACAAGTATTACTTTTCCGACTTTCTGCCACTCTTCCATCCCTGACTCCTGTGCAGGGTGACCAATTCATCCTAAAAACAGAAAGCTCCATGGTCCAGGAACCTTCTAAGACCCAAACAATCCATGCCAGTCGCTACTCTCCTTTCTCATTAATTGGGGACACAGCAAGAACTAGAACTTTGGCTTACTGAGTCCTAGTCTAGTACTCTTTCCAATGCCTTTAGGATTCCCTACTAAGAGAGGCTTTAAAAGTACAATGTTTCAACTGCCTGGAACAGCTTGGGAGATTTCATGTTCTTCTAATTTTAGGAGGCAATTTTTTATTTTCAACTTGCTTTTCTTTATATGGTTTATATCCTTTCATAATCTAAAAATTGTTTTCAGAACCCAAACATTAGGATTATAATCAAGGTAAGAAAATTAAAGGACATTCTTCAGCGGAGTTAGGTTCTCTAACTATGACGAAAGTGCAACCATTAATCTAGTTGAGAACCCTGCAATGTTCTAGTAGAATCCTAGCACTAGAGCTATCAATACCATAAGAATTATGTTATCTAAATGTCTAAATGTGATCAAATAAAATATTGATACATTAACCACCCCCCAGATTTTCTGCCATTAAAAAAAAATCAGTTTAGTTCTTGAATTGCTAGGAATTTTCACAAAAGTTTGGTAATAGTCTGAACTGAGGAAATGTCTGAAATAATTGTGACATCTAAGTGCCCCTGGGAAAAGAATTATTTAGGTCACCTTGCAATGGGAAGAAGGGAGGCCGGTTCAGTCATTTGACTGCACTCATCCAGCACAACCACAGGAAACTTAAGATCATTCATGCATGGGAACGGGCAGGCTGCACAGGTAACTCCAACCACTTGAACCTTTAGAATAACAAAAATGTTATTAATTAACAACTATTAAAAGGAAATAGCCAAAGAACCTGCAGGCTAAAATCAGAAAGTGAGTTAGTCCCAATTTATTCCTAGCAATGAGAAATCATAAGTCACTTTATCTCACATTTTCATTATTCCTATGTACAAAATGAAAATCACTGAGCATAGGCTACGTACACCACAAGCCTGTTAAAAATAACAAGTAAAAGGCACATTTTGATAATCAGAAGGAGAGTATTACAATAGCAAGGATTTATAAAATATAAAAGATGACACATATTTTATCTTCTAGGTGAGATTAAATAACGATAACGCATTGTATCAACACAGGCCAAAGTTTACCACGAACAGCATTACGTATGCTAATGAACTTTCCTTTGCTTAAACTTCAAGCACACTAGTTTTTTTACTTAAGAAAGTAAAGATGGCTAATTAATTCTGAACAACAGTAAATTAAAGTATACTTGTAGCATATTTGAATCTTATAGGTTAAGTATTATGGCAGAATGCCATTATTCTTAAGGCAAAAAAACCTGATAAAAATTGATATGTAATCTCTGGAACTAAATGTAAACAAGAGGAAAGTCTATGAATTTTCTCACTGGATATGGTCATTGGCCTAAGAGCCTGCTAACATTACATGCACATGCGTGCACACACACACAGACATATTTACATGTGGTCATGTGCTGCATAAGGATGCTGCAGTCAATACCAAACTGAATATATAACTGTGGTCCCATAGGATTACAATGGAGCTGAAAAATTCCTATTGCCTAGTGACATCACAGCCTTCATGAAAGGCTCGTATAAAAGAATATTAAAAATACATACAATTATTTATAGTACAAAATACTTGACAATGATAATATTTCTTAAAATTTCACTATATTCGGGGGATGGGAAAACACCTCTTATCAACAGGGTGCCTGAATGAAACGTAATTGTACACCTAACCCTTAACTGTACCCCACAAAACCATAATAAAAAATACTGATTAATGAAAAAAAAAATTTTCACTATATTTTCATATACATTTAGTGTAGCCTACATACACAGAATTTATGAAGTCTATAGTAGTGTAAAGCCACATCCTGAGACTTCACATTCACTCACCACTCACTCACTGACTCACCTATAGCAACTTCCAGTCCTGCAAGCTACATTCATGGTAAGAGCCATATACAGGTGTATCAGTTTTCATCTTTTATACCATATTTTTACTCTACCTTTTCTATAGTTAGATATGTTTAGATACACCACTAACACTTTGTTACAATCAACTCCTACAGTATTCAGTATAATATGTTGTACAAATGTGCAGCCTAGGAGCAATAGGCTATACTAAGTAGCATAGGTGTGTAATATGTACACTATGCCATCTAGGTGTATGTAAGTACACTCTGTGATTGTTCGCACAACAATAAAATTGCCTAGCAACATATTTCTCAAAATGTATCTCTATTATTAAGTGATGTATGACTGTACTTATTCTCTTCTAACAGCCTAAAGTTCTGTATTAATTACGCTTCTTGATAGCAAAGGGCAGTTCATACAAACTGAACATATTGAACATATCTTTTTTCAAATGACAAAAAGCAAATGACAAAAATATACTTTATAAATTAGATATTGTCCCTACAGATCCTGTGAAATAATATTATAAACACATGATTTTATTTAATAATAAATATCATTAATCATACGCAAAGCACTGTATCAGTTAGGTTTTTTCTTTTGTTAAACACAAAAACAAAAAATCATAAAGCCACATTCGTATTCGAAATTCTACACATCATCAACAAGGGTACCTGCATAAAGAGCATTTGTATACCTAACCCTGAACTGTACCACACAACTTCAAAATTAAAATTTTTTTAAAAATAAATTCTATACTACTTATACATTGAGTTACTTAAAAATTATCAAGCCTGATACCACTCTGAAATATTTATTGTCTAATTTCTGACAAAAACAAGCTAAGATTAAGAACTCTAAAGTTATGAATCAGAAAGTATTTTTTAATTTAAAAAATATCGAATACAAAACCATAAAATATTAAGTTATTTCTTTAAAAGCTTATTATTTTTAAATTTATTATTATATTGCTGAGTTTTTTTTGGGTTTTTTTTTTTTGAGTTGGAGTCTCACTCTGTCGCCCAGACTGGAGTGCAGTGGCCACTCCCGGCCACCGCAGCCTCAACCCGCTGGGCTCCGGCGATCCTTCCGCCTCAGCCTTCCAAGTAGCTGGAACTACAGGTGCGCGCTACCACACCTGGCTAATTTTTGATTTATTGTAGAGATGAGGTCTCACCAAGTTACCCAGGCGGGTCTCAAGCCCGCAGGCTCAGGCAATCCACTCATCTCAGCCTTCCAAAGGCGCGGGATTACAGGCTGAGCCACCGAGCCCGGCATTGCTGAGATTTTGACAGCAGAAAAGCTTTTGTTATTGACCTAAAAGGTATTAATTAACTATGAAGCATTTTTTAAAATTAGTTTTATTGTAAAGACATGTCACTTTAGGATTGTGTCAGGTCTGAATGCCTGACTGGATCTTGGAGATATGTTAGAGAAAACATTTTAAAAAATGATTCTTCTAAAATAGTTTTCATTTGTAAACAGGTGATATCAATGAGCAATAGATAATGGTAACTAGGTTTTCATTTAGAAAATTATCAAAGAAATCATTAACAGTTATTCTTATATATCATTATTACTTTGCGTAAGTGAATAAAATGGTAAGTAGTTTACATAAATGGCTAATTTGTATTAATTGAACACAGTCAAACTAAACCTTTCTGGATTTGGTTAAAAAGAGAGAGTGCAGAGTAATTCTGTATTCAGATAATAAGAAGTTAGTCTGAAACCCTCTGAGGACTCCTAGAACTAAAACTTTTTGTAGATTAGTTATTTCTAATTTCACCTTCCTTCCCTGGGAGAGTATTATTACATATCCACAACTTTTGACAAGTTACTTGGCAGTGCTTCCCACTAGAGAAGCAGGTAGAGTGTATTTCCTTGCCTCACTAATAGTAGGCTTGGCCATGTGACCTGTTACGGCAAATGGAATGTTAGCAGAAAACATGATAGGAACGGAAACTTTAAATGTATGTGTATGATCTGGTCTGCCCTCCTACACATTAAACAGAAGCTTTAAATGTACTTATATGATCTGGTCTCCCTCCTACACATCTGCCATCTATCAGGAGAAGACCACCATGCCATAGCAACTCTTCTCAGAATGACAGACTTGACCTGAAGCTTCAAGCCAAGCCACACCTGTTGACCTATCAAGTCATAAATTGTTGTCTTAAAGTACTGAGATTTTGTTTGCTAAACTGCATTATTTCAGCAATAGCTGATCAACATAGGGCCCCAAGGAGACTGACTTTCCCAAATATTTTAAAGAAAGTGACCAATGTCCAACTGGTCTAAGAAATCAACAACTCCCTTTTCCTACATCCTTCTTTCTTTTCCCTATGCTCTCTTTTCATAGGAGGAAGCTACTGATTCATTTATTTCTCTTCTACCAGCTGATACCTGGATTAAAATTTGATAAAGGGGTCTGAATGTGGCGGCTCATGCCTGTAATCCCAGGACTTTGGGAGACCAAGGCAAAAGGATATCTTGAAGCCAGGAGTTTGAAACCAAGCTAGGCAAAAAAAGAAGACTATATCTCTACAAAAAAATTAAAAATTAGCTGAGTTTGGTGATGTGCACCTGTAGTTTTAGCGACTCAAGCAGATGAAGCAAGAGGATCACTTGAGACCAAGAGTTTGAGGCTGCAGTGAACTATGATCATATCATGGCACTCCAGCCTGGATGACAGAGCGAGACCCTGTCTCTAAAAAAAAAAAATAATAACTTGACAAAGAAGAGGATGATTCCAATATTACCACTTGTTATGACTTGAGAACCTGAAAAATATCAGGATGCAACAATATATTGTCTCCAAGAGACTCATCTCACCAGAAAGGACACTCACAGACTCAAAGCAAGAGGATGGGAAAAAAATTTTCAGGCAATGGAACACAAAAGAAAGCAGGAGTTCAGATCTTAATATCAGACAAAATACCATTTAAGCTGTAATAAATTTAAAAAGATATGGAAGGGCACTGCATAATGATAAAAGGTTCAATCCATCAACAAGAAATATCCATCCTACACATACATGCACCCAACATAGAAGCACCAACTTTCATAAAGCAGCTCCTAGGTAAACTAAAAAAAAGATATTGACTCTAACACTATCATAGCTGGGGACATAAATACCCCACTAACCACCCTAGACAGATTATCAAGACAAAAAATCAACAAAGAGACCCAGAACCTCAACATGAACACTTGACCAAATGAACTTAATTGATACCTACAGAACACTCTACAACCATGTAATATACATTCTACTCATCATCACATGGAACATACTCTAAGATTGGCCACATCCTCAGCTATAAATCAAGCGTAAACAAATTCCCTAAGATTGATATACTGTCATGCACCTTCTCAGACCACAGTAGAATAAAAATAAATATCAACACCAACAAAGATTCCCCCCTAACCCACAAAGACATGGACACTAAACAGCATGGTGCTGAACAACTCCTGGGTCAACACAGAAATCAAAACAGAAATTAAAAGCTTCCTAGAAACAAATAAAAACAAAGAAACATATTACCAAAATCTCTGGGATATCATGAAAACAGTACTAAGAGGGGAATTCATATCTCTACAAACACACATGAAGAAAATGGAAAGATCACAAGTAAAAGCCTAACAAATCACCCAAGGAAGTTGGAAAAGCAAGACCACCACAAACCTAACTTCAGCAGAAGAATCCAGATCACCAAAATAAAAGCCCAGGCTGGGCTCAGTGGCTCAGCCTGTAATTCCAGCACTTTGGGAGGCCAAGGCGAGAGGATTGCCTGAGCCCGCGGGTTCAAGACCCATCCGGGCAACTTTGCAAGACCTCTTCTCTACAATAAATCAAAAATTAGCCAAGCGTGGTAGCATGTGTCTGTAGTTCCAGCTACTTGGAAGGCCGAGGCGAAGAATTGCCTGAGCTCAGCATGTTGAGGCTGTGGTGGCCAGGAGCGTGCCACTGCACTCCAGTCTAGGTGACAGAGTGAGGCTCCAACTCAAAAATAAAATAAAAAATAAAATAAAATAAAAATCCCAAATAAACACGATCAGAAATACAAAAGATCAGGTCACAACTGATCTCGGAGAAATACAAAAGATTATCAGAGATTACTATGTACACTTGTATGGAAACAAACTTGAAAACCTAAATGAAATGGAGGACTTTCGTACATCACACAGTCTCCCCAGGTTGAAACAAAAAGAAATCAGTACCCTAAATAAACCAATAACAACCCAGGAAATCAACTATGTCATAAGAAAACTATCTACAAAAAAAAGTCCTGGACCAGATGACTTTCCAGCAGAATTCTACAAAACATACAAGGAGGAGATCATACCCATCCTATTTAAAGTATTTCAAGCTGGGCTCGGTAGCTCAGCCTGTAACCCCAGTGCTTTGGGAGGCTGAGGTGAGTGGACTGCCTGAGCCCGCAGGTTCGAGACCTGCCTGGGCAACTTGGCGAGACCTCATCTCTACAATAAATCAAAAAAATTAGCCGGGCGTGGTAGCACGCACCTGTAGTTCCAGCTCCTTGGAAGGCTGAGGCGGAAGGATCGCCGGAGCCCAGCAGGTCGAGGCTACCGTGGCCGG